TTAACCTGTAGTGTGGTTGGTTAACCTCTGGCTGGTGGTAACCCCTGTGCTGGGGGCCAGGCTGCTCTCACCTGGAGTGGCCAGGCGGTCCTGCCAGGTGGGCTTGTAGTCGTCGAGCGTCAGCAGCATGATGTACATGGTGAGAGCGAACATGCCGGCCAGAAACAGGTAGAAGACCAGGTAGAAGAGCAGGATGAGGCCTGGGGGAGATGGGGGAGACAGAGTTATTGTGTCCTACAGTACATCCTGTCCTCCCCTCCCCCTCTGAATGTCATCTTTATAATCCTCTTGTGTTTGGCCCCGCCCCTACTGATGACCTACATTCAGAGGGCGACGGACGGGGGAGGGGCAGTGCTGTTCGCTCTGCAGCATCTCCAGTTTCATTTCTGAGTCACTTTGACCAGTTTCACTTTTCATCAAACAGCTGTTTGCAGCTGGAACACAGAATCCTGCACTCTGATTGGCAGACAGCAGGCACTAGTTTAATTTAACCTTTGGAACCCTCAGGGCCCCCAAAGAACTGTGTGGCCTCTTCAGAACCTCAGTCCAGAACCTGAACATCCTGGACCTGGCACCTAAGAACCCTGAAATCTTTACAAGCCACCCAGAAACTGCTTAAACTAGCAGAACGAAGAAATCACTGAAGAATCCTAAACCTCTCTGAAGACCTCTAGAATGTCCTGAAAGAACCGCTTTAACTCCCTAAGGATCCCCCGGAACCTGCCCTCAGACTCAGGTCCAGTGTTTTCTGGCTGCAGAGGAACATTCAATGTAAGCTGGTGTCAGCCAGTGGAACCAGTTAAAGGTTCCTCCTGTACAGTTAATGTCATCAAACATGTCCTCTGCTGCAGATTAGCTTAACAGGATCACAGGAGATCTGAGGACCAGCACCTCATCGTGAGTCCAGTGCTCTGAGGATCAACTGATATGGTTTTTCAGAGCTGATATCAAAATCCATTTTTAGTTATCAACAAAGGCATAGAACCAATATTTGGAACCAATAGATACTCAGTGCTGTATATTAACAGCACGTGACGGCAGGAACCTGCCATCCATACCGAGGCTTCCACAATAATAAGGATTACAGTCACTGAAATGGAAGAGTAGAAAAAGGAGTGACAATGTCAGTGTCACCCATCATTAGGCCTGTTTACTGATCAGTCGATTGATTGAGATCAATGCCCATTTGTCTCCTGCAGGTCTGTCTGCTGTTCTTCTGTTTTCTGTCTGTGCTCTCTCTCTTTTATTTCCCACTAAGGTCCAGACCTTAAAGCTTTATTTCTGACTGTTTTTCAGACTCAGTTTAATCTGTGGTTGCCTGCTAGCCGTTAGCTTAGCATTAGCCACTATGAAAGCAGCTAAGGTCTGGTTTGTGTGGATGTTTGTGCCTCTTGTTCAGTTTTTGCAGGTTGTTTCTCTGCAGAGAGACAGGTCTGTCCGTTGGAACAGAGAGTTAAAGTTGTGTGACTTTAGAAACATGTCACGGCGCTCCAGGCAGTGTCAGACGAAGACACACAACCTCTCAGTGTTAGCATTAGCCTAGCACAGCCGAATCAGTTCGAGCAGCTCTGATAGGTGAATTTTTCAGGTGAAACTGTGGAAGATTGTGTTGTTAATTACAACTTCAAACAGCTGCTAACTGTAGCTGCTAATGGTAATGTGCTCGTCTGTCTGTAAACAATAGCTTTCAGTGATTGGCTGTCGTTGTGACGAGTAACCAATCAGACAGAGAAGAAACTGCATCAGATATCGGCCTCAATAACTGGTCGATCCTGGTCCTGTCCTCAGCCTGATTCTGATGGGACGTTTGTCTGACTGCGTCGTACAGGTGGACACACCTGGTTCAGGTTTGTAGACATGGTGTGTCTGCAGATGAACACAACTGGAGGATTGTGTTTATTATTTATTGTGTGTGTGTGCAGATTACCGTCCAATCAACCCCGTCCATCTGCTTAATCCAGATTAACACGTACACTGCAGTTTATTGTGTATCTGTGTGTGTGTCTGTGCCAGTGTGTGTCCTTCAGTCTCACCAGTGCCCCGGTGCATGATGGAAGAGGCGACATCATCAGAGGCAGTTATGTAAAAGCTGAGCTGCAGATGCTTTAATAGTCTGATGGTGAACAGGTGACAGGTGTGTGTGATGAAGAATGCTTGTCTGGTGACATCGCTGCAGATCGCAGCAGCCTTGCACCTGTAACCATGGTAACTGTAAACAAACATGGCGACAGCCTTGGAATGCTCAGGAGATTCAAAAATAAATAAGGGCAAAAACTTGTAACGGATCAGGGCCCGTCAGAGCTCAGAGCTCCATCACCACCAAACCACAGCTCAATAAAAGCTGAAACTCTGAAGACGTTTTTAACGTTTCAACCAACTGATGGGAACTAAACATGAGACAAAGTTAAATAAAGTCTGAGTGAAGCAGCTGCAGAATCTGGAGCTGCTGATTTTTAAACAGCATGAACAGATTTATGGACTAGATTCAGTCCCACAGATGCAGGAAAGTTCCAGTGATGAGGCGTTTGTTAGAACGCTGTTTGTTCGATGTGATGTGTTGATCTGCTGCCTCCTGCTCACTCACAATAAAGTGTCACAGACGAGGATCAATAACATGAACTCAGTGAGCAAGTCACTACCACAAACCTTCATCAGCGGAAGTCCTCAGTCTGGTTTCTGAACGTTTACTAAACATTTGCTGGGAGTTGGCTCCAAAATAACACTTTGTCTAACACATAAAAGAGCAACGATGCACAAAGTCACTCATAAAAATACCTGATAGACAAATAACCACACAGAG